AACACAAAGAACATTTCGCTAAGTTGGCTGTTGATGCTGTTGTTCGTTTGAAAGGTTCGGGCAATTTACAAGCCATCCAATTAATTAAAAAGTCGGGGGGAACCCTTGAAGAGTCATTTTTAGACGAGGGTTTCCTCCTTGATAAGAAACCGGGAGTCCATCAACCAAAACGCGTGGAAAATGCCCGAATTTTAATCGCAAATACTCCAATGGACACTGATAAAATAAAAGTCTTTGGTTCTCACATCAAAGTCGATTCTATGGCGAAAATCGCCGAATTAGAGTTAGCCGAGAAGGAGAAAATGAAAGATAAAGTTAACAAAATACTTAAACATAATGCCAATGTCTTTATTAATAGACAATTGATTTACAATTATCCTGAGCAATTGTTTGCCGATGCTGGCGTTATGGCTATTGAACATGCCGACTTTGATGGCATTGAACGTCTAGCTTTGGTCACTGGTGGTGAAATCGTCTCAACTTTCGATAACCCCGAGCTTGTTAAACTTGGCAAATGTGACTTAATTGAACAAGTCATGATTGGTGAAGATATTTTGTTACGTTTCAGTGGCGTGCCTTTGGGGGAGGCTTGCACGGTGGTGATCCGTGGGGCGACTCAGCAAATCATAGACGAAGCCGATAGGTCCCTTCATGATGCTCTGTGTGTTCTTGCAGCAACAGTAAAGGAGAGTGGAATCGTCTACGGTGGGGGCTGCAGTGAGACTTTGATGGCAGTAGCCGTGAGCAAAGCTGCAGCCAAGACTCCAGGAAAGGAGGCTGTTGCAATGGAGGCTTTTGCCCGGGCCTTGCTCCAATTACCGACTATTATAGCCGATAATGCAGGGTACGATTCCGCTCAGTTGATAAGCGAGTTGAAAGCGGCTCATAACAGCGGGAATAGTACTGTGGGACTTAATATGGAGACGGGAGAACAAGGCGATATGAAGAGTTTGGGAATCACCGAGTCGTTTGTTGTTAAAAGACAAGTTTTGTTGTCGGCGGCTGAAGCAGCAGAGATGATTTTGCGTGTTGATAATATTATTAAAGCGGCCCCGAGGAGAAGAGTAGAGGATAGGGGACACTGCTAATTTAACTAAACTGATGTATTTTCACTATTTTTAATACCGTGCATTGTATTAGTTGTACAACTAATTTTTTTGATGTATTTGAATCATTAACACGTAATAAAACTCTTTCATTTAATCGGATTTTTCTTGTTACAGATGCTTGAGTGTTTCCGGATTTTTTTACCTAAAGTAGGTGAAGGCTAAGTAAATAGTTCCTATACAAAACTCCTTATCTCTAGTTATATTTTTATTTTGATAAGACACTCCTTTTATTCATTATCATTCATTATGTTACGTCAAGTAGTCGTAATTATTTTTCTTATTATTCTAATTACCTTCAAAAGTTCAAATTCACAAAAATGCTCAGTTTGTCAGCCACGAAATTTCATTGGAAAAGAACAAAGTGAGTGTAATTTTGCTTGGTATTAGTACATTATAGTTTTTTTTAGAATGTGTTTGTCCAGAAAATGAATTTTGTAGAAACAATAAAAAATGCCAAAGATGTGACAGTGATTACACAACTTGGAATAACCTTCTCAAACAACGAAAAGGTGCAAATTTGACATTTTTTGTTTTGTTAGTAAAATCATGTTTCAGCCGAAATTGAAACTATTTTCGATAATTTAATCAAAAGATATGAAATAAATGTTAACGAATTGAGAACTCTGCTTAAAACATTTGCTGAGAAGCTTGAACATGAAGAAAAGGCACTAAACGTGATAGGTATTAACAATGACAAAATTCAAAAGGAGAGGGAACAAGTTTTAAAGAAAATAGAGAAATTAAAAAATGATTTGAAAGAAGTAGAAGAAATGTTAAAGAGACTCGGGTCTCCAAATTCCAAGGACCAAAATATTTTGAAATATTTGACAGAAATTAAAGAAACAATAAGAAAACTTGTTGGAATATTAAAAACTCTAAAATTTGATTTAAGTGACAACAATATTTTTAATCTTGTTGATGAATTTAATGCTATAAATAAGAACGTTACGAGGATGCTTGCAAATTTTCCAAATGTTCGAAAAAATTCTCTAAATTTGCTTCTTACTACCGAAAAAGAAATCGACTTGTTGGAATCAATCATAGCCAATGTGAGTGCGATTTTAGTGTTTTGTGATTGTCCTCCGATTACCTATCTTTGTAGTATGGAAATTATCCCGCAAATTTTTCCGAAGGTTTAAAAACAAACACTCAATGGATTGAAAAAGATTTAACTTACTTGTTCAACCTTTTAAATAATTACTACAAGGTCTCTCTTGATATAAATGGATTGAAAAATAATGCAACACGGGTTCGGTAGGTTTAAATTTCATCTAAACATATATATATTTTAAAATTATTAATAGATCAATGGCAAAAAACACATCCTTAAAACTTGACCAACTTCTTCAAGATCATGAAAATTTTGAAAAACTTGTCCAAAAAGTTAAAAATGTGAGTGTTCTTACTGCACTTATTAGGTCATAATTTTGTATTCAAGGAAACTATTTTCTACGAAGAATTACAAAGAATGAAAAATCGTTTAGGGACTTTAAAACAAAAAATTGCCGAATTCCAACAATTCTTAAAAATTTTGAAAGACCACGAAGAAGTGGAGAATGAATTGGAAAACCTTAATAAAATAATTAGGGAATTTAACGAAAAAGAAAAAATTATTCGCACAAATAGAGGAGTAATGGACAAACATCTCAAAAATTTGAATGAACTAATAGAAAGATATGAAAAACTCAAGGTAGTTAAATCAGTCGAAAAAATAATAGTCCAATCAAAAGAAACGAAGCGTAAAACACAGGAAGTTGAAGAAATTATTGCAGAACATTGTAAAGATGGTATAAAATAAAAAAATGATTTTCGTTTTTTGAGCCCGTCATTCTAAGTCCTGTCCTGTTCCTATCAACTCTCAACTGTCACATTTGACAGTAATAATGTTTGTAGGTTATATTTACACTGGGGCACTGCACCATCTCTTTTTGATGTAAATATTTTATTATTACTATAATAATTGTATTAAAATAAGCGTTTTAGGCCTTTGATGTGATGTAAGAATGTAACATTTTAATATTCACGATGGTAATGCACAGAGCTTTATTTACATGGTTTATCCTTTTAGTTTTTCTTATAATTTTATCTCTACGTTTGGAAACGAGGACTCACTGGAATTGGTTCCTCATTTTCCTTCCAATGTGGGTTTTTGATACAATTTTATTAATTGATGCTTTATTTAATGTCTTTGTACTGTGTAAACATGAAAATCCGCAAACTATATTCAAGAACAAAAACATAACGTTGATTGTTGTAGCACTTTTAAAAATTGCGGCCCAAATAATACTGTGTTTAAAATTAGAATACGAATCTTTACAATTATCAACATATCATGTACTGATACCCTTCTGGATATTGTTGCCAATTTTAATTATTAACGTGTCAATGTCCTTATTTCGAAATGGGAATTATGCACACTCTTCCTATTAATTAATTTGAAATATAAACTTCTTATTGTAATTTAATATTATAAGTACTGAATAAATTTATAATTTATCTTCAAAATATTTTTTAAACCCTAATACGCTTGCGCACGGTTTTAACAATACTGAAATCAAATTATCAGAAACTAAAACAAAAACTAGCAAATTGCAAGATAAGTGACATCAATCAATATGGAAAAAATCGGTAATTACATAAAAGGAACTTGTACTGAAATGTGCCCATCTGAAGAAATAAAAATGTAAGGTTATGTTATCGTTCCAATTTGTTGCTAAAAATCATTTAATTCAGGCGTGAGAGAGAAAAATTGTTACATGTCTTAGAAATGGTCCCTGGGACCGAAAAAACCAAACATCCGAAGGCTAGTAAAGTGCACATGGTTAAAAGTTTCAGTAGATCAGCAGCAGGCAAGCAAATTAAACCAGAAACTTTGAGACCACCTCATATTTTACTAAAAACAGTCAAGTATCTTCTTTGCGAGTAATTTATAGCGGTTTAGATTCACAATTCTTAAGCAATTTTTTAGCGTAATACATACAAAACGGCTGCCTTGGCATTCAGTTTATGATTTCATAACAGACAGATTAATGGCAGTACGACAGGATTTGGTCGTTCAAAATGTTTCTAAAGCTGAAAGCATAACAATACTTCAACCTATAGTACGTTTCCACGCATATGCCGCTTACAGATTATGTGAGGAAATCATTGCAAACTTTGACGCCACTCTCAACAATAAGCATCTTCAAGAATGTTTGAAAAAATTACTGTACATTTATGACAGTTATGATTTTCTGGATTTAGAGATTAAGACCGTGTGTAATGATTATTTCATAGAAAACAGGCCTGAATTTGAGGCACTTTACCTCATATTTAATTTAGGAAATGATGAGGCACTAGCACGGTCATTAACAATCCCAAAAAAATGTAAAACCAAAGTGGTAAAAGATGCAATTAAGCTGTCTTTCTGTTTCAAATATGGAAATTTCGTGCGGGCATGTCGGATTATTAAAAATCTGCCAGCATTATTGGCTGCTGTTGCATCTTTACATTTGGGTGAAATGCGGAGGTAACGTAAAAGGATTTTTGAATTGTTTGCAAACATGTTTTGCAGGAGAGCATTTCAAATAATGTCCTCGGCTTATCACAGTAAAAACCTCGTTTTTCCTAATGAAGTTTTACAAGAGATTTTATTGTATGGAAGTTTGGATGAGTTGTTGCAAGATTGCGAATATTATCATATCAGATGTGATAAAGAAAATGTATATTTCTTAAAACAAGCATTTGATAGTACAAAGGCCAAAGTAAGGATTTTTTTCTAATGATAAAAGATTCGAGTCTCCTTGGTTTCTATTTTCAGGTTGGCACTAGACACGAATATTTTGTTAAAAACAAAAAAATGGAAGACAACCTAGATGTAATAATATTGGGTTTATAACAATAAAATTTTCTACAAAACGTAATGCATTTTCATTGAAGAACTCTGTGACACTTAAAATTAGAAAACATAAAGTTGCTTTTTATTGTTAATCAATGAAACATCAACATTGTCATTTTTTTCGCGTTGACAGTTCCTCTCTCTAAATTGATAACAAGTAAAATTGGTGTAATGGTAATAAAAGAAATGTCCGCGGAGCCGTTTGTAAATTTTTTACGTCGTGTGAGATCTCCAATAGCGATTTACCAGGAGCCCAAGGGAATATCAAAATCAGAGTAATGTGTAAACGATTTTAGGGCAAATCTTATTATTGTTATTTCAGGCAATACTCCTTTATTGATCTGGTGAAAACACTATGTCAACAAGCTTATATGGCCGTTTTGGTGATTTTAACCATGTTCTACAACATGCTGCCACTTTTTGAGGGCTTCACATGCATCGTTAGATTTATACTGGATAAGTTAATCGATATTTTTGAAACTCAAGGCACTTGGGAAAAGTCGGTGAAATCGCTTATTTTCACCGGCGAACTGGTCGTACTTTTCATTCTATTTTACTTCACAATAACCCTTTTATTGATCCCTATTATACATTTCTTCTTTATTTTCGTATGTAAAATATTTAGAGCGTCCTCAAGCCCACGGTGAAATAAAATATTAACAGATATAAAAATATAAATGATTATTTCAAAAGGACACAACAGTCGCTGCCATGATATTTGGGCAGCTGCAATTTATATTTTTCTTCCAACTTTGGCGGCACAAATCTACCGCCTAAGTAGTGGTACTTGCCTAAAAAGAATTGAGCACACTGTTTAGGGGCTGTTAACGAAATTAACAAGTCTGGAGTTATCCCGCCGTCTTTAGGCATCCCATTTTCTACATGCCAACCACTTGGTATATCAATACTACCAATAAACAATTTTGAATAAAAAAATAATAAACAATGCCTCTTTACCTTGCAATGGGCACATTGACACATTTTAACACTTCCATGATACCCTCAAAATCCGGCTTAAGCGGCGGTTTAAAACTAAAACCAAACAACGCGTCTACTACCAAGCCAAACTCGTTATTAACTTCATCAAGTGAAGGCTCCCTGTTCATCATCATAACATTTGAAGATGTAGCTTGATGTACTAGATTATGATAAAGTGGTTTATCCGTTCGTTTGGGGTAAAATACCTTCAATTTGTACCCAAACAAACTCAAATGTCGCGCACAGACTAACCCATCACCCCCATTATTTCCGGGTCCACAGCATACAAGAATTGGTTTATTTCCGAATTTTTCAACGGGGTAAACTTTTGCTATAGCAGAGGCACAACTCAAACCGGCAAGTTCCATCAACTGGTCAACTGAGAATTTGTATACGTTGAAAAGTTCCTTGTCAATGTTTATCGCTTCTTGTTGACCCAAATAACGCACCATTGCGGAAAATGATCTCTTACAAGACAAGTCACACAAGGACTAGAATGTTACGGGTTAAAGAGAGGAATTACCAAAAATGTGGAAGTACTGTTTTTGTTTTGATTATTCTGCCGAATAACATCACAAAATAGTGGGGTTAGGAAAACGTCATTTGTCAAAAAATTGTAGTCAACCATTGCGATAGTGGTTGCCCATTCAAATATTGGACGAAAACGACCAATTTTTTAATTGCAAGTTAATTATACCAAATTTTGTTTTTTTATTTCTTAAATTAAAAAAAAAACGATTTGTTAATTTTAATTTTTGTACAGGACTTTTAAGCATTACATGACATTACTCAAAGAGATTCGCATGTCGTTTTCTACGCGGGAACTTCAACATTTTCCAGTGTATTTTTTTAAATTAATTTTTCATTAAAAATTTTATTCTTCGACCTGTCAAAATTTACGGTTTTTCTTCCGTGTAAGGAAGTTTTGACAACTGTTTGGCATTTCTCAATACGAAACGTCAAATTATTTTTAACAGATTTAAGCCTTGTTGAGTCTAATTCGAAGAATAAAATGTTGTATTCAAGTCGTTTGAGTGTAAATCGGACGCTTTATTCCACCTTGTGGATGGTAAACCACTCGTTACACTCGTGGTTTAAAAATCCACTCGGTCAAATAAAGCGTCCGATTTATACTCAAACTTGTCAAATAAATAACTATAATATACTTTTAACAAACCAGTCTTTAAAATTATATTACCTGAACATGATAATAATGAACAATTTACAATACTTAACACCACTTATTAATGAATTTTTTTATGCACTGTTTTTTTGAAAATAAAAATAAATCCTAAAGAATGCTCAAAAAAGATATAAAAAAAGAAATTAATTATTTTTAGTTACTAGGTAATTTTGTTTAAATAATACTCATATTTTTAATACAGACACACATAACCATTATTACTGCGTACTTTTTTTATTGTATTTTTAATTTAACTATACTACTGATTATTTTCAAAAAGTACTTGCTCCTAAAAACAAACAAATAAGCTAAAGTTAGGTAACTCGAAATAATGATTTTTTTTCAGCATTACAAATTAATTTAAATCTATGTTGTAATTTTCCAAAACAGCTAGTAAAGAATATGAGCGTCGAAGTATCTAAAAAATTATGTACTTGTTGTGCACAAACTTAAATGGCAACCTTACCATTGTGAATGTGACGAGTGACATATCCAAAATTTTTCCACATCTAATATTCAGAGGTTTTTTCAAACGTTCCATTAAAATGTTCAGCGCTTTTTTGGACTTTATGTCAAATTCATACCATTTTCCTAAATAAATAGCATCTCGAATAGTGTCACTCTAAAAGAATCAGTTACATTAAAGTAAAATAAATTAAATAAAAAACCTCGTGATAAAAAATTGTTCCAAAGTGGCAGTAAAGATATACTTCACTCAGCATTGCAATGAGATACATCATCATTGCCAAAAAATCAAAACTCAATATATCTACCTAAAAAACGTCTCTTTTAATAGTAGAAGGTTGTAGAAAAAATACTTGTGGCATACAATGGTTAATTGCAAACAAGAAACACAAAAAACGACGACACCTCCTATAAACTGGCTGAAAGCAACTTGAGAAAAACATTCTTCATATTCTTTGACAAAACTAAAATAAGTTTCAATTAAAAAATGATTAATAAACATGGATCAAGCAAGTACGCTAAGATATGTTCGTGGTGAATAACACAGCGTCTGATTTTTTTGTACATCAGTTTCGCTTTTATTGAGGGATCTAAATTGGGTGTATGAGATGCTAGTTCTTCGTCTACTTGTTCACCCAAATATTTCAAGTTATTTTTCAGTATTTTAATCTGACTTGTGGCTTGATAAGCCAAACATGGCACCATCGAGTCAATAGCTGCGCTAGTATAAGCACCATATCCTACAGCTGAAATTGAAACCAAAATTTTAAGAATTTCAAGTTACTTAAAGACTTTTACCTAAAACTAAATAAAAGTAAACACATGCAACGTGCAGTTTTGGTGCTGTGTGAGGATCAAATGGCAGCCAAATGTCAGTTGGGAAAATATGATTTTGCCAGTAAATTGGTCTAATTGACCAACTACAAAATCCTGCAGTAACCGATGCGAAGTAGAATGCTGTACTGTAGTGACAAACTTTGACACAATCTTTTAGAATTTCCTTATGTTCTTTTTTGTCAGTTTTAAAAATTGGTGCACTAAAATAATGAATGCACCGTTTGAGGCGTTCTCCATGTCGCACAAAAGGCCAGTATTTTGGGATAAAACATCCCAGTTCTGCGATTAGAAATGCGTTATCAGCAATTTGTCTAAACGTGATCTGTTCTTGCACGAGAAGATTCACACATTCCAAAATAGGAACTGGTATTACAAGCAAAAAATAGGTGACATAGGTGTACACTTGGTATAAGGACTTGAATTTGTCTGGTAGATAAAGGCCAGAGACTCGTAAGACATTGATGTTAACTTTGAAGCTTATGTCGATTATACTGGGCATGGTTGAAAGACGTTCAAATTGGGGGACTTTTTGCTTTTATAGTTAGAATTGAAGGATTTTTTTTATTTGGAGACGGGCGTGTCTTTGTTAAATGAAATTTAGATTAGATTAATTTTTGATCAAAGATATGTAAAGGCTAGAATTAAAATGGTCACACGGAATTCTTATTGGTCTACGTGGGAAAGCGTTGTTGGAAGAAGTCACTGTTCGGTAATATTAATCAAAAATTTAAACATTTTGATTTCTGATTCTGTTTAGTAAAGTGATAGACGCGTTTTAGAGTTTGAAAAGAAAACATGGTGGTTTATTGCAAAAAAGCTAAATTAAAATATAAGTAGGTAAGTCAAAGAAAAATCCAAATATTCTTTAATTTAAAATGACTGATTGAAAAAGTGCATAGAGCTATATGCAACACAAGAAATTAAAAAAAAAGTTCAGAAAAAGGTTCAGAAAACCCGAACAATAATTAATTTGTTTTACTGTTAGAGATGATAAGTGATACAAGAGAAATATTGTATTTATTACAAATATAAAATGAAATTTGTTTTTAAATAGATTCAAAAAACTGATGTTATAAGGGCCTATTCTGTAAACATACAAACAATTTTAAAGGGTGTTTAAAATTTTAAATCACATTAATATTTCGATGCTATTCTGTATGTATCTTTCCTGTTAAAATTTTAAATACCCCCTTTATTTTTCACCTTTAAATGCTTAATTTTTAAAGGGTACTTTGTGGGTAGCGTTTAAAATAATAAAGGAAACAAACGTCAGTCGTCAGTGTAGAAAAATGCAAATCAGTGGTAGGAGTGTTAAACATCGTGCATTATAAATTATTTGGTTTATTTATTTGTTTTTATGAAACAGTCTTTGTTGTGTCAAGTTTGTCTTCTAATGAACCAATTATTGCATTAATACAACTTCGCTGAGTTTAAGATTTAAGGTTGTAATTTTTGGGAATGCAGTTCTACCAATTCACATTCGCGCACGATTTATTTTAGACTCTTTTTTTGTAAATTCTTTTTATTGTGAAAATCACAAATTGACACACTTCACTTCACTTATTTTATTATTATTATTTGACCCGGCAAAAGAAGAAGAAACCATTTGCCAGATAATTATTTTCATTTTCTGCCAAATAATTTCCACAACTTTTACACTCCACTGACCCGGCGGTTTAGATATGCAGTAAGGCAAGATTCACCATTACGGGAATTATTGTTGATAAATTGTTTGAAATGAGATTAATGTAAAAAAAAACCAATCTAGCGTCACTGCAGATCTTCCGCCTCGCAACTTAATGAATTATTATTAATTAAGTTATTATTATTATTGATGTTATTAAAATAAATTTTGTTGATATTGAGACATTTCTAACAATATTACAAGTTTTTAAAATTAATACATTTTATCTAAAACACAATTAATTCATATTAATAGTTCAATAACACTAAATAATAACAATAATACTAAATGTCTATTAAGCACTCGCAAATACACAACACGCATTCACTGGTCATTGAAGTTCCTGAAACAAAACAAAAATTAACCATATATTCTGGAAACAAATTAAATTCGTACAATACTCGGTTTTCTTCCTGTCAATGTTTCTTTAATACGTAAAAAATCCAAAGTAAATTTGAACTCGTCTTCTACAAATTTTGAAATTAAATTTGACAAATGATACTTTTTATCTAAAACACAATTAATTCTTTATCATAATTTAGTAAATACTTACTGTTGCAGACAAAAATCACAATTTCTCACACTTCACTTTGCAATAAACAAAAAAATAAAAAAATTAAATGCACTAACCTTTATGGCATCTTCTCCTGCTACCCTTTGTAGCAATTTGCCTCTTCTTCTTACACGGACCTACTGAAAATAAAGAAACACAAAATCAGTTTAAATTATTGTGTTATTAAATTAGTTGAAAATATTAAATACAATTTAATAAGTAAAATTTTTCTAAAAAATTCAAAGCTATTGTTGACTTACCCTTTAATCCGGACCCTTGAAGCACGATTCCCTTCTCCATTTCCCACATTGGCACTCACTAGAAAGCACTTGAAAAAACACAACACGCATTCACTTATTTTATTATTATTATTTGACCCGGCAAAAGAAGAAGAAACCATTTAGCAGATAATTATTTGAAGACTTAATTTTCTGACAAATAATTTCCACAACTTTTACACTCCACTGACCCGGCGGTTTAGACATGCAGTCAGGCAAGATTCACCATAACGGATATATTGCTGATAAATTGTTTGAAAAGAGATTAATTTAAAAAAAACCCAATCTAGCGTAACTGCAGATCTTCCGCCTCGCAACTTAATGAATTATTATTAATTAAGTTATTATTATTGATGTTATTAAAATTAATTTTGTTGATATTGAGACATTTTCTAACAATATTACAAGTTTTTAAAAAGTTTGTCTTTTGAATCGCAATAAATAAATTTGAATATAATTTTAAATTTCAAGATTTACTTTTAAATTATGTGCTACATAACAGCCTTGTTTTCTACAAATTATGAAAAAGGATTTGAGAAATAACACATTTTATCTAAAATACAATTAATTCATATTCATAATTCAATAAATACTTACTGTTGCAGTCAAAAATCATTTTTACACTTCACTTTGAATTGAAAATTTTAAATACAATTTAATAAGTGTAATTTCTCTAAAAAATCAAAAAGTATTGTTGACTTACCCTTTAATCCGGATCCTTGTAGCACGATTGTCTTCTCTATTACCCCCATTGGCACTCACTAATCACTCGAAATTTTAAAAATCGCGCACTACTAAATGTCTATTAGCACTCGAAAATGCACAACACGCACTCACTGGTGACCGAGTTTCGCACACTTCACTTTGCAATAAACAAAAAAATTAAAAATTAAAATGCACTGACCTTATATGGCATCTTCTTCTGCTACCATTTGTAGCGATTCCCCTCATCTTCATAGAACGGACTTACTGAAATAAAAGAAATTCAAAATTAGTTCAATTTGTTTTTAAATTAATTGAAAATTTTAAATACAATTTAATAAGTGTAATTTTTCTAAAAAATTAAAAAGTATTGTAGACTTACCCTTTTATCCGGATCCTTGTAGCATGATTGTCTTCTCCATTACCCCCATTGGCAATCACTAATCACTCGAAATTTTTAAAATCGCGCACTACTAAATGACACTCGAAACAACACAACACACCCCCATTTCAATACGATTTCGCACAGAACCACCAAATAATAAGTTATAATTTATTCGGACAAGTGATTCGTACGAGAGCTCAGCTAAGACTGACTCGTTATTGTAATAATTTTCTCGAAAACGGCACAAAAACTATTTCGTAACAGTTCCGGTGTAAAAGGCCTTTGTTCGAATATAGGGTGTTTCACATAATTTTACGAGGCCTACGTCTGAAAAATGCAGTCAATAATACATATTAGTCAATAATATATACATATATATTACGAACTCGATTACAAATTTTGGAAAATTGGATAATCTTCTCTAGTTTGTTCTGTTCTATGACTTTTGTATATTTGGGTGCGTACATTAGGCGCAAGCCTCGCAAAGTTATGTGAAACACCCTGTATTACCAAATTCTACATTTATTATTACCAAATTCATCATTTTTTCCGTCCTTTACACAACAAAGGGATTTTTAGTCGTACAAATACACATTTTTTCTAAAGTGACGTCACGGAATTTAACCCAATCAAATCTTTCAAATTTCTGAAATTCAACCAATCAGATTCAAATTACGCGATAATGTCTGGGTAAGTCTACGTTATCTTGTGTATGACTTGCTATAATTCACCAACGATGTTAATACACACCAATTTTTGTGTGAATTATTGTTTTTATAACTTTATAATCGCAATTTGTGATGCTATTCTGTATGTATCTTTCCTGTTAAAATTTTAAATACCCCCTTTATTTTTCACCTTTAAATGCTTAATTTATTTTTAAGTGCATTGTACTTTTTTGGGCATGGTAGTTACCTTACTTGAATAGGACATAGTTACTCGATGTCACAGAGCTAGCCTAATTTAAGTAGGAATATTAATGAGGTGACCAATGCAATTATTCAAGGATTAATTAATATTTGGATAAAATTTCCTGTTAATGAAGTTGCGATTGTAATTATTGACCGTGCACATATTAAAATTATTTTTCCCCCAGAAGAACATCCTTTATATCCAGGTCAACCATATTATTGTAGCAGAGAATATTACTGGCCAAGGATTCCAAACATTTTTCGTTTTCGATTTCTTGCTATGCCTGCAAACTGAGGCTCAACAATTCTCTTTTTTTTGTCTTTTCTCAATTTTCTTATTTTGGATTCTTTAGAATGAGTTTGATCGAAAATGTGCATACCTTATGTGCACCTCTTTCTGCGCTTTCGTCATTTGTGCCAATCTTTCTTTAAGCATTTTAAACGTTTTTTACGGAAAATGACGAATAAAACTGGCTTGACATTTTTTCGTAGTCGGCTCATCATTTAAAACCAGCAAAAATAGTTCATTTATAACAAAATAATAACATTTCCTCTATTCAATACGATGAAAGCCGAATATTTTAAAGGGTCCGTTTAAAAAATATATTTTTAAATGAGCATTTAATTTTATGCATACAGAATAGCTTATTTAAAATTGGGAGTTTAAATATTTAAATTTAAAGGTACCTTTATTTTTTAAGTAAGTACAGAAGTAAGTATTTACAGAATAAGCCCTTAGAGAACGTTTTTCGCTTGATTTTCTTCATTTTTGTTAATTTTTTTTATGTAGAATCTTATTTTAAAAGGCAGACGTAGGTGTGTCGATTTTGGCATATGAATGCTAACATCATTCATAAGATTGCTTATAAGAATTTTCTAGATATTTCTTAAAATATGTTTTCTATATTTTCGTTAGTTTAAAAAAACCTAAAATAATAATATTTGAAAAACCGGTGTCTTGGTGTCATGTATTTGTCTATGTGAAATGTAATTTTTGTTGCATTTTATTTTTCTACCAGGCTCCTCATCGCACGTGAATCAGCCTGTATATTTCACTTCCGTAACTATAGTTATTATAATAAGAGGAAAAAACTGATTTATTTTATTATTTTAACTACATTTGATTTACAAAGTGATCCACAATGAATGAATCTGTTGGCAATCCTGACTTTAATTTTTAAAGGTTACCATTGGAGTACGCTTTTGGTTAAGGACAATTCAACAATGTTGAGCGGTTGTAAGTCAAGTATTTGTCAAGCAAAACCATATGCGGTTGCAGTGTTTCAAATTATTAACAAAACTACTTTTTCAAATCTGTTACCAACGGACAGTCTTTCTGGATCACTTCGTATAATATGATTAATAAAATTTTATCCATCAAGAAGTTTTTATAATAATAATTATTTTCTACTTTCTAAAATAATTTTTTAAAAGGTAATTTTAGCGGTTACTATTTTTTTTTTTGGTTTTTGGTTACTAAATAATTAGATTTGTTTTCAGAATGATAAATCTGACACAAATTTGTTCATCAATATCCTTATTACCATTATACAGGGTGAATAAAAATAAGTATAAGAAACTAAATGTTTTTTCCTTAAACTATGTATTTTTTTTAATAGGAGTACCTAATAAATTACAATGAAAACGTGAAGTTTTATCAAGAATAAAATTTTTCAAAATTTTCTTTTGTTTTTGAGTTCGGTCAAATTATTTATTTATTATACCTAAATGACTATAGCATGTAATTATTGCAATAAGCAGGTATATTTGTCCCAATAAGGACTTAAATGAAACAGTGTTTTCTTAGACCTTTGTACTTATTAAAAATTAAAACTTTTTGAAAATTTTGTAGCTATATTCTGCGTATGAATAACTAGATAACTTACGAATTACTACTACCATTACAAGCAAAATAATAAATAATGATAACATCAGAAACATGATTTTAAATGGTAAAAAATGGTTTTACTTCGTAATTTTGACCATAAAGTAAGTTTTTCTTTTGGTAGTAATGATACTTTTGTAGGTATGTACATACACTATACACTATTTGCTTAAGTTTTTGCCAAGTGTTTTATTGTGAAAAATTATTTATGGGTGGGGAATAAGAAAATGATAAGGAATATTTATATGCTGTGATGAGTTTTTATTTAGTGAACAATTATAGAACATTTTTATAAATTACCATTTGTGCAAAATACATTAAAAATAATTATACAATACTCATAATCCTTGTGTATATAAATTAAAATTGCCATACATATTTCTTTTCTCAAGGAAACTAATTAATTAATTCAATTCGATATTGTAATTTTCTAAAACTGCCAATAATGAATAGGATCGCCTCAGAATCTAAAAAAAAAAAATGTTTTTAACTTCACTATTAATTCTTGGTACTACCGTACTAATACCATGCTAAACGTTATTAAAGACAATTCCACGAGTTTTCCAGAAATAACAATTACTGGTCGTTTCGCCCGTTCCATTAAAATTGTTAACGCTTGTTTTGATTTTTTGTCGTAGTCATACCAACTTCCCATATAAATTGCATCAGATATAGTATTACTCTAAAAATATTATTTGGAAGATTGTTAATAAAAAAATGTGACATACATACTTCTTCGTAGAGAAGTGTTCCAAAATGACAGAAAAAGTAAACTTCACTAAGCATTGAAATAAGAAACAGTATCATTGCAAGACAATCAAAACTTAATATATCCACCTACAAAAGTAATGTTTAAAATTATTTACAAATAACGTAATTACGCACTATAGTCAACTGCAAACAAGAAACACAAAGAACAACAACACTTCCTGCAATTTGGCTAAAAGCACACTGTGCGAAACAGTATTGGTATTCTTTAACAAAACTAAAAGTAAATCATTATTATCCGTGTAGTCACAATAACGTAAAAATTACTCCAAAATGAGATTGTGGTGTTTAACACATTTAACAATTTTTGCGTACATAATTTCAGATTTTGGTAAACGATTAATAACAGACTGGTTGTTGTATTCGTCTTCAGTGTCTTCACCCAAATGTTGCAAATTGTCTTTTAATATTTTTATTTGAGTTGTAGCTTGATAAGAAAGACCGCTAATTAAAGGGTCTATTGTGGCATTATTATAGGCACTATAACCAACAGCTAAAAATAAAATTATTATTATTACAAAAAAAAAAAATAGAAAATGTTTACCGACTACAATATAAGCGTAAACTAAAAAGTTGTATAGTTTCGGGGCTACTTTTGGATCGTATGGTAGCCACAAATCGGTGGGAAAAATGTGATTTTCCCAAGAAATCGGTCTACTTGACCAAGAAGTAAATCCTGAACTAACTGCAACTACAAAGAAGATGGTAATGGCTCGACATACCTTGATGCAATTTTGGAGAAGTTCCTTGTGCCTATTTTTTCTTACTTCAAATACCGGTGAATCAAAATAATGAATGCATTTTACAAGACAGTCATTGTTGTGTACAAAAGGCCAAAATTTCGGTATGAGACAACCCAATTCTGCTATCATGAAAGCATTGTCAATGATTTGCATAAAAGTTATCTTCTCTTGGAGAAGAAGATTGAGAACTTGTAAGATGGGTACAGGAACTACGAATAGCAGATACATGACATAAGCAAGCACTTGGTTAAGTTGTTTGTTTTTTGTGGGTGGGTAAAGAGCTGTAACTTTTAATATACGAAAATTTATTTTGAAACTTTGTTCAGCCAAGCTTGACATCGTTTACATTAATGGCCTTCAATGTCGGCTTTTCGATGATTTATATAGTTTCAAAGTGTCTCTTTGTTGGACGAAAATTAGATGAAATTAATTTTTCATTAAAATATTACAAGGAATTATGGTTGATGTGTACGTGGGAAAACGTTATTGTAAGAAATTTTCACTTTCCCCCCCCTCCTTCGATAGTAATAAAGAATTTACCATTATGATTTCTGATTCTGTTTGTTGGACACAATTTCTTTAATTAAGTATTGCATTGGACCGTTCATAGTCAATTGCAGTTGTGCAATAAAGACCCTTGTGTTTAATCATAAATAATATATTTTTCGTTTTCTAATCATGATATAATCTATAAGGTAAGATCATAATTTTTTATACTCACAATTTCTATAAATTTTCGAATTTCACCAAAAAAGGTTTCTTGCTTGGATACATATAAATTACATATAAAAATATTAAAGTTTCATTAAAAAAGGTTTAAAAACCAAAGAGAAAATGATCAAAATATTATTTATTCTTCGACACTGCCAAAATTTACGGTTTTTCTTCTATGTAGGGAAGTTTTGAAAACTGTTTATTGGCATTTCTCAATACGAAACGTCAGATTATTTTTAACAGATTTAAAACAATTTTAAGGCTTGTTGAGTCTAATTTGAAGAAAAAATGTTGTATGCAACTCGTCTTCGTCTAAATCGGTTCATTTATTCCACCTTGTGGATAATAAACCAATCGTTAGCACTCGTGGTTTAAAATTCCACTCGTAAGATAAAGCGTCCGATTTACACTCAAACTAGTCGAATAAATAACTATAAAATGTGACCCAAAAAATTTAGTGACGCCATAAAGCTGATTTTCAAATTAAAATAAAAACTAATGACAATTTAGGCTGTTTGAATTTAATTGTTAAGTGTTTTTATTTTTATTCTGGAAATGATATAACATGTAATATCATCACTATATTAACATCAAGGATAATGGCAATTTTTACTTGAAAAATGTTACTTTAATTTTGTTTTAATATCTTCATCTTGAAAAATATTGAAATCAGCAACTGTGGTTGCATTTTAAACGCAAAGTCAATTATTTTACTGTTTTTTTCTTCTTTTTAAATTGAATCTGTTATTATATTTGACTGTTAAAATTTTTGTCATTTGACATACCTATGCAGTACCTTAATTGCTCAAAAAAGGCTTAAATTGCATTAGTTTCGGTGAAATACTTTCTCACTTAAAAACGACAGTCTATGGCCAGTGATAGCCAAGGTATTGCATAAAATGTCAACAAAAAACAGTGTCATAAAAGTGTATTTTCTGAAACTGTTTTCACTTATAATTACACGAAAACTTTTTTTTTTTCGAAGTAAACTTGACATTTTAATGAGAATTTTGTTTTCTGGCAATTTAACGAAAAAAACTGCAACTTGACAAGAAATAACCGCGTCCGTAGAACGAGTAATTTTTTCTGTCAGTTTTTTAAGTTAAATTGCCTAAAGGAAACAAAACTCGAATTAAAAATGTCAAGTTTTCTTCGTAAAAAAAAAGTTTGACTGTAATTCGGTAAAACAATTTAATGAATACGTAAATCATTAAATTAACAAATAAGGTGTAAATTAGTTTATTTAATTTAATGGAAAGTACAATTATTAAAAACACAATTCTCATAAACAATTTAATTAAGTTCCGTTTTGTCGCTGTAATACGTGGCAAACTTTTGTCGCTGTCATAGTGACAAAAACAACGCGGCTTATGGGATTTTTAGTGTATGAAAAAAATTGTCAGTTATATAAAATGCTCATTGTGACACCGAAATAGAAAAAAATAATATGTTGTGCTAGAGTGATGTTTTAATTCTTAAGAGGTTGTTTGTAAAAAGTAAAGATAATGCAAATTTAAAAAGTTGTTGCCTGTTATATACGTATACCAGGTGAATGAAAAGTACAGAAGCAAACATTTTTTCCTTAAACTATTTATTTTTAATTGATGGGTGGTAAAAGTACTAAAAATAAGACATTTTATCAAGAATAAAATTTTTTGAATTTTTGTTTTTGTTTTTGAGTTTTGCAAATTGTTTTTTTTTAATGGCAACCCACTATAAAACCATTTGTCTGATGATTTATGATTTATATTCAACTTATACAAACATTTTTTACATGATTTGACATTTTGACAAAAAAATCGCAGAATTCAAAAAAATTATTCTCTAAATACGATCAATTTTTTTGTTGTAATGTAATTTATACCGTGAGATCAAAAATTAACTTGCTCAAGGGTGTTCATGTATCTGGAAGCAAATAATAAAAAAAATCTTGATTCCATACTTTATTCACCCTGTATGTAAGAGAACAGTTCTTTATTTCACAATGTAATTAATCTTATTTTCAATTAAAAAAGCCATGACATTGAAGGTAGATACTTAAATAGGGCATTAATTAACAATAATTACTTGAGATAGTAAGAAATAAAGTAGTTAATGCAAACATTTTATATAAAATAAGTACTTTTTGCTTTTTTAGCCATCCAATATAATTAGATTGGAATAGTTTAATTTTTTAACAATATGTAATTCTTGAACAAATAACTTTATTGAAGAAAACATATCGTTGGAATAGTGAAAATTCTATTCCTATTAAACACCTAATGTGAGTACCTACATTTTGTAACATTCGTAAACACTGGTCCAATAGTATAATAGAATATATCGGGTAATTCAAAAATGTGTGGCATGGTTTTAACCATAAATACAAATGAGAATAGCATAGTATTTATTGACCCACCTCAACAAATAGAAAAATTACTGCTTTTCAAAAAATTTCTGAAAATATTTTTGTTGTCGTTTATCTGATTATTATGAAACTTTGCATATTAATAGACAAAAAGACACTCTTTGATATGTTGTAAACGGATGTCTTCTAAAAGCTACACATTTTCGGTGACAATGGGGCTCTTCCAGTTTTTGGGCGGCGCAGATTTTTATTTAAAAACATGCCTCCAAAAATTATATACACAAGGTTTTAAAATCAAATTAATATTCCTTTTGTGTTTTTTAATTAATTTAGATAGACCACAAGTATTATAATATAATAGTTATAAAAAATTGTTAGATCTAAAAACACATAATCTTATTACAATAATTTTGGATTTATACAAATTAGATAAATGCACAAATTGAAAAAAGCTCAGAAAAAAAAATGTCGAGAAATTATACAATCTAAAAAAAGCAGTGAAGAAATGGATTTTAGATATTTGTATACGTAATTGAAACTACGTATAAATCCTAAAATGTTGCTAAATTATGAATTAAAACTATTGCATCATAAGTTAAATTATGTAACTCATTATCCTTACACAGTGCATTATATTACTTTATGCACTACCAATACATTGTATAGTTATGACCGTGCATTTTTAATTACGTCAACGAAATAATTTTCCTCTGGAATTTAGGTCTAGATTCATCCTATTCTGTATTCGAAGATAATAAATAGTTTTTAGTGTTGTAAGAGTGCAATCAGGTTTTGTGTTAAAACAATTTTGAAGTACAATGCAAATAAATATCCTCGAAAATATAAAGACAAATGTTCTAATTTTCGTTTTTTAAAGTGTGAAAAATAAAATAACCCAGAATAATAGATATATTTTTAATTAACAAACCAAAGCCAAAAATTTGATAACTTGTAAAACCCATTTATGTTTGGTTTTAAAGACATTGAATGCGTTAGCTAATATTTATAATAACCATTGTTGTTGTGATAGTTTGTTTTGTATAGGTATACTGCATTTGAACGAAATTACGACACATTTTTTATCATTTAAAATTAATACCTAAAAATTTGCAGAATTAGCCATTGTATTATTTTGTTCTTTGAATGCGAGAAATACTGCAACGGATAAAAACATACTTTATCTGACCCCTACAGGCCCTACATGTCACTAAAACGGTAGAAAAAGTATTATTTATTCCGTTTATATTTATAGAGACGACGGCTTTTTCTATATTCGATTGAAAACGATTCTTTTATTTAAATTCTAATTAATATTTCATCAAAGATTTCTTAAACATACTAAGTAATGTTTCAAGACAAATTAGTTGAAAACTTTTTAATAAAACTGTAATAATTATTAATGAGCAATGGCAAGGGAAATAAAGGAGTGAAACGTTTAATTTTTGTGTCGAACTATCATACTCTTTTATTATACTCTGATTAGACTAACACGAAAAACTAATTGTTAAACGGATGTAACTAAATAGATTTACAAACATGCTAACGAAAACTTAATAATGGCTACTTTTGCCAATTATTGCAAAGAATATTTAAATGTGGCCATCCTACTATCACTATTGTTAAATTAAATTGATGCAATTAACTTTAAATTTATTTATGTGTTATTTCAATTAGTTCAAAGGTAAGCAAGCAATTGTTTCGTGGTGTAGCTAATAAATATGTTGATAACACAACTGTATGCATATTATAGAGAAATGTGGACCAAAAATGTTTAAATCGTGTGTGTTATTGCACTCCCCCCAATTCTACAAACCATAAACCCACAAATACTCAAGCGGAAGTTTCGTACACACTCCCTACAAGAAGTATTTTAAAGAGTAGTAGCTGAAGTCGCTGAGCGACAATAACCGGGTTGGAACCAGCACTGTGTAGGTCATACATAACCGATGGTGATGGTACCGGCCTTGGTACTCGTCGTTTCATTTCGTCTTGAGATTGACAGCTGAGTGATTAAACAGAATATAAGAATTTTTCTGATACCGAATACTCGCGATAGTCATGGTGCGGTGCTGCAATGCTCAAAGTTGGTGCGGTGTTCATTTTTTTAATCGCTTTTGGACGAAGTAATCGACAGATTGGTGATTATGAACAAAGTAAGTTGTTTCATAAGATTCATAAAACAAAAACTGGTCAAGGAAGGTTTTCTCGTTTTGAATATTCTATTAATCTAGAGCGAAAGATGCACTAAATTTCTTCACTCGCAGCTAAATAACGGTTTTATTTTGTTGTACTAATGTTAGATTAATTGTTATTAAAGCGGCCACAGATTATTCGCCATAATTATGTAACTCAAATGATCAATTAGGTATTCAAAACATAGCGCCGAAAGTGTTGTTTAAATTTAATGCAAAATATTGTCTATTGTGCGATTTCCGACATGACTTGAATATTTAAATTTTAAATCTGTTAGCATTTGCTCACTACTTCTGGTTATTACCTACTTTTACTTACATTTAACAATTAAAAATCATTTTTAGTTACATGACTTTAATAGCAGAAAAATCAAATGAATACTAAATTAAATTGCAAAAATTGAAATTAATTGTTCTATGTTGGAACAGTTTTATGTATTTTGTCACTCAAGCACGAGATTGCATTATGGCAACTTAATGATGACCCACACAGAGATATTTAATTTGTTTATTTTAGTGATAAATATTGTCCAACTTTCTTCGAGTAAAAGCCATGTGTCTGTATTTCCGGCATCATTACATCATAATAACGTCTCTAAAAATAAAGTAAAAGTGGATACAGTTTTCTAATATCAAGTAATTGTAATATTTTAGTAAAGCAACTAGTCACACAATGGGCACCGTTAATTTGGATGTCACCAGATGAAAAATATTACCCATCGAGCGTGGACACGTTTTTTGAAAATGTTTACTTAGCGAATCAAAATGAGAAATTAATTATGTCAGCGATTAGCAAAGAACATTTTCCAATGTTAAATACCAAGTCTCTATTCCTAGTCACCACACATAGCGTAGGTGAGGAAACTTTGATTATTTTATAAGAAAATCTAATTAACATTTTTTCAGAATATTTAAAAAGCGATAGATTAACTTCTCTTCATGGCCATAACCCTAACCTGCGCCCAGTACCCACTTATGCTGTAATATCTGCTTGCACCAACAAACCAAATTATTACAAAAGACCATTTTTCACCGTTACTTATTGGGCTTTCTACCCGTACAATCAAGGCAAGAAAATTTGTTTCATAGGTAAAAAAATCTCCATTTTCAAAGAGGCTTGTGTAAATTAACACTTGACACTAATTCCAGGTAATGTTCCTACTTTGACAATCTTTGGTAAATGCTTTGGCCATTTGAAAACAATCGGATCTCATGTTGGTGACTGGGAACATGTCACCCTTTCCTTCAAGGGTCAACCTTTCCCTTCTGAACTATATACGGCTATACATAACAGTGGTGGTTTTTACAAATACGAACCACATCACAAACACTTTATACTAGACTCAGAAAAAAGTCGACGAAGAGTACAAGGACCTAAACTCCCACCTATTCTCAGAGTACAAAACGGCCATCCTGTGTTATTTTCCGCAAACGGATCGCACGGTCTTTGGCCAGCCCCTGGAGAACACGAATATTTAAAAGTTCCGTATTTAACAGACAAGTGTGGGTATGGAGTGCCTTGGAAAACATGGGAAAATCTGGATATTTTATATTTAGGCAGTCGTAATTTACCCAAATGGTTGTTCTTCAAAGGAAAATGGGGGAATCCCAAAAAGAATTGTGTCCTGTCTGGAAAATTGGGACTCTGCGAGTATACAGATGGACCACCTGGAATTCTACGGAACCAACAAGAATTTTCATGCTAAAACGTGGTTGTAACAGTTTGTGATATTTGTTGTTTGGAATAAAATTGTTTTTAAAATTTTATTTTTACTTTTTCAAAATTCCCACACTTTGCAACCACCAATCACAGGTCGGTAATTACGAGCAGCCAATCACTGGCCTGCTGTAACGGTTTGTTTATTTTATCAGCTGATTTTGACAGTGTGATCTGACATTCGTGTTTCTTGTTTTCAATGAATAAACCAGTTATTATAAGTGGTGAGGCTTCTGAAACTGACAGTGAGGATGAAGCACCAAAAAAAGAGGTATAAACACGTTTCAAAATCATTAAATCGTTCCACATCTCTGCCGTAGCCTCTGATTGTGACAGCCCCAATTCAAGGAGCTGTTATCACAGGAGAAGATTCCGAATCGGAAAATGGTAAGTAAAAACGCACATTTCAATCAGAATACTGAATTCAATTTTAAGAAAACGACGCGAGTATTTGCAGTGCTGTCTCAGCTCTAAATGAAGTGAGCTCGCCAATAAAAAAAGAAAATTGTGATAAATACGACTCACTTTTGCATCAGAAATTACGTAAGACCTTAATTGTTTTTTAGTAAGTCCAAGAAATTATTCCTTTTAGGCGAATGTAACGGAAAATTGCATCACGATATTGAGTGCTTCTGTCAGAACGTTATTGGGGAGAATGGAAAAAATTTGATTTCTATTGATCAACAGTTGATAAAATCTCAACTGACGCTGCAAAATGCAGTAACGTCGTTGAAGTCTCTTGGCGCAAATTCACTTTCCATAAAAAATAAATTGCATTCTTTGCTTTCCGCACAATTTATCCCTAACATTAAAGTCAGCAAGTAAAATGTAGTCTTCCTATGTACCCCAAAACTGAATAGTTTAATTGTTCTTTTTTCGAATTAATTTAAGTGATGTAAATCGATGTAGGTATTTTATTGTTAGGGAACAAAATTTAGCAAATTTACAGTTAAGGAGTCTGAATGTCATTCCGCAAGTCTTCGATTCGGGTCTCAATATTTGTAATTATATTTAGTTGCTGATATAAATAATTCACATAAGTTTGTAAGTCATTCATTAACGAGTAATCACTACCAAAATCACACGTAACCGATTTTCCACACGTTTCAGGAATGCATATTTCCTTACTACCCGTTTCAGCATTACGATCATCGGGATTTTTATCCTTTTCTTCATTATTTTTCTTCGTTTCATTTGACGTAGACTGTTCCTCGCTTTTTAAAGATTTATCCTTATTTGCACATAAACACAAAACGGAGCGATAAATATCTTCAATATTGACTTCTGATTTAAAACAATCACTGCAACAACAAGGAAACGCAGATTTTTGATTTTTACCACACACACAAGAAGTAGACGAGTCATTGGTTTGAGCTGTACTAGGTGCAAACGTGTTACGCACCACATTGTAGATCTCTTCGATTTCTAATTCAGCATTACATTTAGTTTTTGGGGACTTATCGTCGATGCAGGCACCACAACTTAAACTCGATATATCACTTTGATAACCTCCACATTCGTTTGTAAATTCACTAGTCAAGTGATGTTGGATGCACATGCAAAAACTACTAGTGTTTTCGTCTTTGATGCCTTTGATTTCATTAATTTTTTTATTCAAGTGGTCTATAACGGAACTTATTGTTGTTTTTAATTTGAGGTTTTCACCTCTGACTTTTTCTATGTAATTATGGACTTCATCATCTCCGAATTGGCACGATTTCAGATGATCATCGATTTGTTTCTGGAGGTCTCCAGGGGGCTGTTGAGGGCACATTGATGACAGTTTTTTACTTGCGTTACTGTAGTAGGAAATTAAAGCGTTTATACATTTGATTTTTTCATCTTTTGCCTCTGACTGTTTCTTCAAATCGGCATATTCATTCTCGAGTTGCTCCAAGTTTGCGTCTTCTGTTAATTGATTCGATTCTGGAACATTTATTTTCTTTTCCGGTTTTAAATCATTGGAATTATCATATTCTTCTGTTGCTTTATCAGTTATTGTATCTTTCTCGACTTTCTCAAAATCCTCGAATTTGGATTCTTCAACAATTATTTTCTCTGCTTTACACGTAGTCCTCAGTTCTTCCATATTTTGGAATAATATTTCTACATTAGATTTGAGCTCTGAAAGTTCGTGTTGAATCTTATCATTCTTCTCGGTCAAACAATCAGTGACAATTTTTTGTTCTTGAAAATTATTCAGAAAAGTTTCTTTCTGTTCCTGGATTGTTTCTGTCAGTTTTGTAATGTTTTCAGTGCAAGTTTGAGTCGAGTCACGTGTAACACTCATTTCGTTTTTCAAAATTTCCAACTCTTGACACGCATGCGACTGTGTTTCTAACAAATTACCAATTTTGTCTCTAATTTCGTTCAGTTTCTCGGTTAAATCATTTAATTCGTTATTTTGACTAGACGTTTGATTTGATTGAGGTGGAAGTAGTTCACTCGAACAACCACATTTTGATTCTTGTTCATCTTCCAGACTTTTAGAATCACACTTGGAACTGTCGGTGTCAGAATCATTACTTTTTTTGTTTTTTTCGATGATTTTTTCTCTACTACCGGCGGCTGTTATTCCTGCTGAGAACATGCTAGGAGTTTTCATTCTATTAAAACTTTTATTTTCTAGACTTGATGCACTTATACTTTCAAAACTTTCATTTTCATTATTTTCGCATTCCATCACACTAGGTTGGTCAGTGATTGATATTTTCTTTGGTTTTGTATCAAAGTCACTATACGTAGTTGTTGGAGCAATAAGTTTTTCATTGTTTGTTTCTTCAGTAAAGGTAAGGTTTTTTATTGAACTTTGGTCCACATACTTTTCGCTTTTCACATCGATCTTTTTAATGCAACTAGTGCTTATTTTTTCTTTTACAATTTCAGGAGTCTGAACTTGAACATCTTGTGTGGAACACCCGCAACATTTATTTTCTGTTGGTTTTACGTTTTCTTTAATGGCTTGAGCTACGGTTTCTACATTTTTCTTTAGTTTGGCTTGAAGTTCTTCATTATTTTTTTGGCCGAGGGCAAAATTTAATAGATTGTTCTTGGCGGAAAAACTAACTCTTTTATCTCCCCATTCACTTTCATCGTCTTCTGACGTCAGGGTGGGAGCGCCGCCGGGAACTTGGTCTTTTAACAGACTGACTTTTCTTTGTAATTCACAATTGCTCTTCCTGTATGCTTGTAAGATGCTGTCTTTTATCTCAACAAATGGTTCTTCGTCATTTACAGAAACAGTTTCTTGAGCTCTCGCTAATTCTTCTCTCAAACGGATGATTTCTTCTTGTAGTGTCGTTATTTGTTTATTGTAATTTGTTTTAATATTTTCTATTGCATCCCATTCGATTTGTGTAGAACCATTATTGGAAGATATCCGATCAACAAGAGATTCCAAAAGTTCATAATGCGCCTTCATAAACTTTTCAACATTTTTCATTTTTTGCATGAAACTACATCGTGAACTGTAACCAGGACATCGATCTTTACAAAGAATATATTCGTCACATCTAAAAATACATTGTATAAAAATCAATAAAGTCAATTCATGTTTCTTATTACTGTTCTTTCCATTTCGACAAATCACATTTTAGTTCTTTGAGGTCATTTTCTTTTTGTTTGATTGGACAAGACCGCAATTTTTTTACCTGTTCAGACGCAAGGCAAAATTTATACCGAAAATCTTCAGTTTCTTTCAAATTTTGTTTATACGATTCCTCCAATTTCTTCACATGTTGTTTAAGCATTTTAATAATCACGTCCTTATTGGCGATCGTTTTTTCCGCTTCTTTTAATTTTAAATCCCGCTTGTCGCAAATATCTTTTGATGTTAATTTCGTTACATATTCGTATTTTTGAAGACACTGAAATAAATTAATAGTATAATTCAAATACGAAACTCTCACTACCTTGTTGGGGTCACAAAACTCCTTTTTGTCCGTCATGTTTGAAAGGCCACAAACGAATTTGAAGCGAAAAATGTTATCATATTTAAGAAAGTTAATTTGTTCGGGAAATTACGAATAAATTTACCAGTCGTACATTAATTTTTTCACTATTAGTCATTAATGTCATTTTGGACGTTTCTGCTGTCTTAGTTAAGTCTAAATTTGTAACAAGATGAAGAAAAAAAGTAAAAAAGCATTTAGGCCGTGTAAAATTCCGAGATATTTAATTGGGTCCGTTAGTCCCCAAGTTATTAAAACTGATTTGGCGGAATATAATGCACACAGATATAAGGTAAAAACGGCAATTTCAGTTTCGATATACCCCTTTTAGGTTTTCACAGCGAAAACAAAAACTGATACTAAACCACCCCCCATGAATCCTTTCAACTACATCAACCTTCGAAAGCTCCGTGCAGATGCTGAACGATTACAAATGATTGATAAGGAAAATAAGCAACTTCTTAAATCCATAAATATAATAAATAGGACTATTGTAAGAAATTTTTATTTTAGTTTTGTAACAAAGTGAATTGTATTTAAATATAGGGAAAAATTGATTCATATAACCCTGAAGCATACGCATCTAAATCAAAATGGCACGCACATGTTATGACAATGAAAAAAATTGACCGCAAAAATAAAGCAATTTACGAGAAATTAATGGCAGCAGTAAGTGCAATTTTAGGTTTTGTTTTTTTTATTGATTTTGTGTATTTAACAGACTTCCAGTTACGATTGTGATTCTCTACGAAAATTCTGGATCAGTATTATCGAAAAATTAAAATTAACTGCAAAATTTCCTTTAGTCATTCTTCAGAAAGTTTCAGTAGATTCAGTCATCGCAAGACAACCTTCAATAAGTTGCGGACTTGAAAAATTATCAGAACGGCCCCGGTAATAAAAAAATTGATTAATGATTTGTATTAATTGATTTCGCAGGTGTTTTTTGGAGTTTCAAGTGGTAAATGGTCCAGTTTTGGGCCGCGTTGAAATCGAGCTTTATCACGACCACGTCCCTGTTACAGTTCAAAATTTCTTATCAATCTGTTGCGGTGATAACAAAAAGAAGCTTTCTTATAAGAATTGTCCGATACATCGAATAGTTCCGGGCCGATTTTTAGAAACTGGAGACATAACTAAAGGAACTGGACGCGGTGGTGTTTCAATCTACGGTAAATACTTTGCCGAGGAAGGACACAAACTTAAACATACTAAACCCGGTACAAAAACAGAATTTTAATGTAAAGAGAATTACATGACTGTTGTTTTAGGGGTACTTTCTATGTTGCGTGTGCGCAAACATGATAACAATTCACGATTTTGTATCACATTCACGAATATGGAACAACTGGATATGCAGAATGTTGTTTTTGGTTATATTGTGCGAGGTGCTGATAATTTGCTTAAAATAGAGGGATATGGTCGCAATATCGGCAAGCCCTTAGCTCCTATAATCATTTCGGATTGTGGTAAATTGAATCCGGCGCCTGAATGTTAGGGATTTTCGGAACGTCATGTTGGTGCTTTAAATTAAAAATGGCAGTTTCCTTTCATGAAATTGAGTGAAGTAAGCAGTAAGCTGTTTCGGGTTTATATCAGGAAATAAAGTTCTAATTAAACACTTATTTACTTTATTATTCATTATTCCGTACCACATTAATACAGCAAAATGTTGTATTTGGAAGATTACTTGGAAAGTAAGTAAATCAATTTCTTTGGCGTGGCATTAACGGAAACGTCAATTGTCAAATATGGCGCTAAATTCAAATTGATTTTTTAGTGATCGAGCATCTACCTCAGGAATTAAGGGACAGGTTTACAGAAATGAGAGAATTGGATTTAACAGTGCAAAGTAAAATTAGCAATAATAACTACATATTTTTTATTTATTTTTTATAGATAACATGGATGAACTAGAAAAACGGGTAAAAATATTTTTTAATGATTGTAAGCGCTATCCCGGTGAGTTACCGCCTGCCATTCAAGTCGAATTTGATTCTGTTAAAAAAGAGTACAAAAAGACACTTGAAGACGCAGATGAGAAGGTAGTTTTGGAGTTACTGTGACTGCTTATTGATAAATAATTTAAATCTAAGGTTCATCTAGCGAATCAGATGTTTGAATTAGTTGATAAATACTTACGACGGCTTGACACAGAACTCCATAAATTTAAATGCGAACTAGAGGCAGACAATAAAGGAATAACTGAAGTTCTTGAAAAACGTTCACTGGAGTTAGATACACCAGTTAATTCCACAAACATTTCGTCCCAACAACAGAAAGAAAATAGATATGAAAGGTGGTTTTCATTTATGAGAACTTAATCTTTGTAACTGCTAATGTAGTTCTAGCAGCTTTAGATATCGGCAAAGAAGTGAAAAAAGACGTGATAGTAGTAATTCAATGCAGACATCATTTGCGGAAAAAAGACAAGCAGTTGCCCCTATACCTCTTGTAGAGACTCGTCATAGTTCAATAGGCCAATCAACTCCCCCTGCCCAGTCTAATGTTACTTATAATTTAGGACATATAGGGGCTGGTCCTGCCATTGCGGCTGCGGCGTCACAAGCAATTGCAGCCACTCAGCAGGTAAAGAACAAAACAATTGTTCATTAATTATTTGTATTTGGTTTAGATGCAACAAGGCAGAAGAACAGCAAGCCTCAAGGCATCATACGAAGCGATTAATACAGGAAGTCACGGTCACGAGTTTAGTATTGGGCGTGAGTTGGCTGGAGCGGCTCAAACAGCCATTCAGGCCATCCAGCAAGACCATGCAAATAACAAAAAGAAGCAAAAGTAGCAATTTTGTATATTTTTTTCGTGGAATTTTCATTTTGATTTTTAGGAAATGGACAGGTGGTAGTTCTAGCATACCCTCAGCATCGTCAACCGTCCAACAAATGTTAAATGCACCTCTTGCTAGTGTTGCTCCTGAATCTCCTTCAATAGACGTGTCTTCACAAAGCGCAGAAGTTACTGATGGTGAATGGACCTATGACCCCAACGAGCCTAGATATTGTCTCTGTAATCAGGTTTCTTATGGAGATATGGTAGCTTGTGATAATGAAGACGTAGGTCTTTTCAAGTTATATTTCTGGATGTGTTGTAATTGCGTTATTTTAGTGTCCAACTGAATGGTTTCATTATCCTTGCGTTGGTATTACTGCACCCCCAAAAGGCAAATGGTATTGTCCACAGTGTTTAGCGTCAATGAAACGTAGAGGAAGCCGAAAAAATTGAAGGAGTTTTAATAGAAAGATGTATGTAATGAGTTTAAAATGGCTTGTAAAAATTTAATGGAGGCGGGAGAACCGAACGAGAAATCAATGAGAGCTTTAGCTGGAATAAAAAAAGAAAAAACGTTTCAAGGGAAAATTCGAGATTAAATTTGTGATATAATAAATATAGTGTTTAATTTCCTATTTAATTCGATATTTTTCACTGAAACAGTAATTATAAAAATAGAAGTATTCAAATGTCATTGTGTTTTTATTGTGATTAATAATTTCCTATATAATATTTAAGATCTTGTAAAATTATGAAAATGTAATATTTATGTATGCTCAAGTTTTTACTCTTTAAATATGTAGTATTGTAAACTGATTTGTTACGCTTATAAATCATAAAACATGAAACACGAACAAAGATTTTTTATTTGAAACATTCCTATATTTTGTCTGGGGGTGAGTATTTAAAATTGCCAATTAAAATAGTCTAAAAAATTGTTAAGTGCGTAATTACATAAGAAATGTTTACAAATTAATAACTGTATTTTGAGCAAAGTTGTAATCAGTAAATAAGTAAGAATCAAAAGCGAAATTCCAGCTTAGTGTAAAATAAAATAAAGCAACAAGTGTTTAAATGCATTAACATTTGATATGATTCTGATACCTACATGAAAATTAATGGAATCGATAGTCTAACCCACTTGAAAAGGGAACCAGCTCAATATTCGAATTTTACGATGAATAATTTAAATATTACATTACGAAATATGCCCAGTACGTTTCCATTTAAAACGGCCATTTGGAAATATTAATAACTATTTGTAATATTGTAAGTCGTGTTAATACTAGAAAAGTAATTAGAAATGTAAAATACATTTGGAAAAATGTAATTAAAAGCACGAGTCTAAACAATATGAATGATGTTAATGAGGGTAATAACGAAACAGCTGCACCCAGAGATAGATAGTTGCAGATGTATGTGTATGTTATTGTGACAAAATATCAGCCTCAATACAAAGCGAAATTGCATGCCGTGAAACGGTCGAATTTGTAAAAACCCTCCACCTTCACTCACGCGTACCATTTTCCGAGTCACCGAAAGTCATGCAATTAATCAGCAAAGTCATAGGGTCAATAAATCGTAAATTGTGAAACGAAGGTCAAAAATTTCATTTTCGAATTCAATAAAAAATTCAAATCATGCTTGGTATTGCAAGGAAAAAATTGCAACATTCCAATGCGAGCTAGTTTCGCCGTTGCAATGTCAGGGTTTTCACATTGCATTGGTGGTATGTACGATAATAAATCAGCATTGGCCAAAATCGAGATGTATTATGAACAAATATCAACTTTGTACCTACATCAGTCAGATTTAATGCAATTAGTGCAGGGTTGTAACTCATCGATATTAAATTTTGCAATACGGAAGTATGAACGGCTGAAATACTCATATTGTCTGCAAATGCAGCTCCGAAGAATAGAGAAAAATGCGTCCGTGCGAAATAATACCGGCGGATTTTCACAGAAATTACAAGCGAGAGCATCAGTGAGATAAAATTGTTTATTGATGAAATATGAATGAAAAGTTGAAAACCCAGTTTTATAAAATGTAGCAACACTTGCATTCTTAAGAAATGTTCCCTTTTGTTAGAAAAGTATGTAGGTGACATGGCTTTAAACATTTCTTGCTTCATTGGAAAAATTATTAAGGTGAGGCAAAAAGCAAAAATTATTCAATTGGTCGATCATTATGTTATAAGCGACTAAGCGAACGCATATCTTCACGATTTTAACACTAAAAATCAGATAATCGCAGTGAATAATTTAGCAAATGCAGAGCAAGTACCTATCACTATTTGTGTAATAAATATTTAGATACTTATTTATTGGAGACAAAGAAAAAAATTGGAAATCTAGTCATTATCTCCCGCGTATTCGTCTGCTGAAAAATTCCGGCTACGTGTTTATAACCCTTCCGATTCCCTCTCACAAGAAAGTTTTCATCAATATTCACGTAATAGTAAAATTCTGAAATAATTTATGAGAACTTCTACTCATTAGTTACCTTAAAGGAATTTCGCTAAAGTTCGAGTCATAATCTACAGGAAATTCAAATTCTTCGAAGAAAAACGTCTTTACTGTAATGAGAACTTTCCCTTACTTCTCCAAAACGGAAGCAAATTATATAAGTTTCAGAACGAAAATAAATTAGTCATTTGTTTCCTCGTGATTGGAAATATTTTCTTTGATACGAATTATATCAGTTGTGACTATCATGACTACATAAATATATTTCAAGCAAAGGTTAATGGAAAATTGGGTTACAGTTCCATGTGTGAACCTAATAAGTACTTTTAAAGTGTTGTTCTTTTATTGCCCACGCCCTTTACCACGAACTTTCTCAAATCATGATAAAACTCTTCTAATCATAAAATAAACTTTTCAATTTTTTGGATGAACTTATAAATTAGCTATTTAGTTTGTAATTATTCAGATTAATAGAGATGTACAGTCACTTAATTACAGTCCGTTTAAATACGAGAATAACCACATGAAAGTACCGGTAGATAGATAAGCTGAAACAGTTGAGCCAAAAAATGTAAATATTAAAAAAATCAAATTGCAATTAGTAAAATAGCACGCAAATACTTTTTATCAATTTTAAACTGCATTGAACTCGGAATACTTGCTATTGCACCAATATTATGAAACGTCAATCGCCTTCAATTAAAAAACCTCTGTTTGCATGAAAAAGCTTTTGTCTACAAAAAGACAATTTTTCCCTATTTATCCCTGCTCCGGACAGGTAATCCCCCCATTTTGCATTTCGACTGGCACCAAGTCAAATCGTGTTTTGAGTCCGTAGAACATGGGTGTTTCTGATTTTTTGTTTGTGTGCTTATTAGGTGCATTGCCAGGTATGTTACAATTTTTTCAATTTAATTGAGATGTGCTCTTCCGGCTTCCGCGAAGTACTGGAGTTCACGCGAATTAGTGAATGTACTTTAGTTTTGCATTTTTTACGAAACGTGAATGTCGAAACTTTTAGGTCCTCCCTCGGTTTCAATTAATGATGCCATCGTCCAGCTCTACCCCATCAATAAACACAAATGTCACAAAATTGATCCGATTAGGGACATCGCGTTTCAGCTCTATACCGTGTAAGTAGTAAAAAATTATTCAACACGGTTTTATATTATAATTAATTAATAATTTAATTCAGTTTTACAAAAATTTGGAAGTATGGATTTTAAATTTAACATAGACTTTATAATTGAACTTAAACACAAGCTCTACTCAAGGTCAACTTTTAATAAAGCTTTTGTCATGAATCTGCTTTCACCAGATATTAAATAATCCATTGTCGAAAGCTTTATTCAATGCCATTTCTTTGAAATAAAAAAACTCGTATTTACAGTTTAGTTGCTATTATATTTTAGTTAATATGTCATTACGTTTAGTATTGTGCAAATTGTGTTTTTCTTGGCATTTAAAATTCGTGTTTTAATCGATTAATCATCAAAAATATTTATTTCCTAATGACAATTATAGTGAATGCATGCCAGGTGACGACTTTCTATTCACTTTACTAGGGGGATACATGCAGTAAACTAGAATATTTATTTTCGTAATCTTTGGTCGATACAATTTTAGATAATAACCATTATGTGCAATTTGATTCTGCCATTCATTGTTTTGTTTAATAAATACGTAAATTTTCTAGCCTAAAGAACTTTCGTGTGTTTGCTGCCACAACTTTACCTTCGAACTATAATTTTCTTACAAAAAAAGAAAAAACAGTATGTAGGTAACAAGATTGCATAAAATGATTTATTAAAATTGGTCTATGGGAAAGAAAAAATGAAATCGTTAGCTTTCTAGCACCTAGTTTTGAAATTAATATCAATTTTATTTGTATTAAGTGGACAATGGAATCATCTCTCAATTAAAGTAACTTTTGGTTGAAAACACATACTCGTATTTAATTCGAACCAAAATTTGAATTGTTATTAATTTTCAGTTTTCACGGTACATTGAGGTTTAATTAATTTTAGTGTTTTAAGTTCAACCATTAAATTAGAATTGGTAATAAATTCAAAACAATCGCTCGACATTAATCCACTTTTAGATAAATTTATTTATACTCAATGTTGTTTCTAAATTATGTAAATGTTCAAATTGTTATCGACTTACGAAATTCAAAAAAAAACTAAGGGCTGTTTACAGAAAGAAAATGAGATTATTTAATTCAAAATTATTTAGATTGTATTGTTTTACGTTAAATTAGTCACCTGAAGAATTTTTTTGACAACAAGGTTTGTGCTTACGGTTAAATTTAATTACTAGTTAAAAAAGTACATTTAATTTGTTAATAAAACAAAGAATTACAGAAATCATAAACACATGAATAGGTGTAAGTATTATTAAAAGTAAAAGATAATTAGATCAGTATTACGTAGATTTCACGGTAACAAGAAAGTGTTACATACTTCCCCAATACTCTTTTTGTTATTATTAACCCCAATTTACTAATAATCTAATAATCATAAATTAACTAAACATGTGATTATTTGTTTACTTCAGGTGTTGTATTAATAATTAAAATATTCAAAAATAAAATACGTTACAATTATACATCCGGTAAACCTCATACTACAGCACTCATTTAAATATTCAGGACTCGGCTCCTTCGTTGAAATATTTTACCCAACTTGTAAACTAAAACTATTTCAATCATCATCGATTTACCTCGTTGATTCTAAAACTTTTTATTATTCAACACATAAATTTTAACACATAATAATATTGATTATAATATTTTTAGACACAATCCTCTGGAAGCACAAAACCTGATTATAGGCGATGATAAATTACTCGCGGAATCTTATTTCAATTTCTCTCAACCTACAGTTTTTTACTTCCATGCTTTCTTCGAGTCCTCCTCCACTACATCTGCCACTCAAATCAGAACAGGTAACAATAAAAAAATCCCTTCAACTCTTGCTCTTTGTCGGAAAACCACTTTCTCTCGCTTTTACTTCACCGTGACTTAATAATTGTAATGGTAATGTGAATCAAGTTCAATAAATTTCAGCGTATTTACAAAGAGGCGGCTACAACATAATCCTCTTAAATGCCCCTCGGCTCGAAGCCGGCCCTTGGTACTACACCGCCGCTAGAAACACCCAAATCGTAGGTGAATACACGGCGAAATTGATTGATTATTTAGTATCCAGAGGAATGCACTTGCCCAGTTTGCACCTAATTGGGCTAAGTCTGGGGGCCCAAATGGCCGGTGTTTGCGGCCAAAGCGTCAAAAGTGGTCGAATTTTCAGGATAACTGGTCTCGACCCTGCGGGACCTTTGTTTAAAAAGTGGCCGAAAAGTTTGCGATTGGATAAAGACGACGCGGAATTTGTGGATGTGATTCACTCCGATGCTGGCATTTTTGGGTTTCCGAGGTCTTTAGGGCATGTGGATTTCTGGCCTAATCGGGGTATTTCCCCCCAGCCCGGGTGTACGAAAAGCGAAGTCAAAGTAACTCTTCCTGATAATGTGATTGCACTTCGTAAGTTATTGAGAATTTTGTGATGATAAAATTTTATTTTTGTTATAATAGTTTTTTGTAGTCACTGGAGATCTTATCAATTTTATGCTGAGTCTGTGATAAATCCTCAAGGATTCGTGTCAGTACCCTGCGATTCCTGGCAGGATTATTTGAACGGGGAGTGTAGACCGACCGCACCTGTTTCTAATATGGGTTTCAATGTTGATTTAAAGTAAGTTGAGATAAAATTGCATTTATCTTTACCGAGTCGCTTTCTTTCAGTGCCCGAGGCGATTATTACCTAAGGACGTCGTCACAATCACCTTTCTCACTTGAATAAGACTGGATTTCTTACGGTAGTTATTCCTGCAGGTAAACCATAATCTGATCTAATTACCTAATAGGTAATTTAATTCCTTGAAGTATTATCTTAAATACTTATTAAAAAAAATAATTATAATATTAGTACATGGTGATTCTGAAATGTCGGGCCAACTCTCGAATGGTGATAGAAGACTTTCAGCAAAGCATAAAAATGAATGCATATTATTTTTCGGGAAAAAAGGGAAAAAACAGATCTGAGAATTTCCATATTTTATCATGTAAGCTCCTTTGTTTCCGATGTTGTCGGATTTAATTTATTGTTGAATTTGCTAGTTTGTTAAATGTTTTGTGCATAGACTGGTGATTTTTTTCAACAGATCTTTCGCGAACTAAATTCAAGAAAACATGAATGTACACAAACTTAACCCAAAATATAACCTTTGAAAACTATATTTCGTGAAAAAAGCTGAAACATTTTTTGTCATGGGAACTTTTAACTCAGTTACATGTTTTTTTTTTTATCACTATTTATGAGATGGTCCGAGACTTTTGAATCAATCTGTATAATAACATAGTCTTGCGAAATACTACCTAGAATAATTAATTCGATACATGATTAATTGTTGTGTTTAATATTTACCTATCTATTTTAATTGTACAAAAAGAAAAAAAAAGTTGAATGTGTATAGTTTGTAAACAGACATTTTTCCTATTAACAAAAATAGTGAAAAATATTAGTCTTGGTATGTTTATAGAAATTTTCAAAAAAAATGCCTTAATATAACATGTCGTATAAAAAATAACGATGTTGAGTTAGGTAGGTACATTTTTAATACTAATTTAAGATTTAAAAGCTGGAATAACTTGTATCTGTGTTCATTTAAAAAAAGCTCGCAGTAGGCGAACGTATGTAATGTCCACTAATTAGTTTTAATTATTTGTTATTTTGACAAGTGGATAAATGAATTAATTAAAGACATGCAAAATATTTGTCAAAACACTCTGGAGTTTTTCTTAAATGAACACATGTTTTAACTTTTCATTTACAATAAAGTAAAACCAAAGTAAAAAAATTAAATTATATTTATAGAAGTAACCAGTATCAATATTTTGCGGTAATATTAAGTTACTTATAATGTGTAATTTATTTGTTATAAAATGTGATATAAAAATTTTAATAAACTGTTTTCATTAAATTTTATTGATATATAACAATTGAGTAACTGTACTATCCCAACCAAAGTAGTTAGTTATGTATTATGAGCATAATAAGAAGATTACGGACGGAAGGATTGTTTAAAGCCTGACGTCAGGAGGGCTTTTAATTTTCTGAGGGCCAGAATCAAAAATTATGCCCCTGGTACATACAACGTTTGTTTATATTTTGGATTGAATTGTGTAACGTTTGAGGTTGATAGTGTGCTATACCCGAGGGTCATTTGACCTTTGGGAAGTACGGCGGCGACCGAGAGCGTTATTATTTTTATAACACCCGTGGTAGACACGTTGAAGACTCAAAGTTTAGTGGCTGATTGGTTTATTATTTTATTGGAAACATTTTTCAAAATGTCCTGACATTTACTGCTTTTCTCATACGAAAAATCAAATAATTTGCAAATGCCGTTGCTGCATTATTTCTCATTTATTAATATACTTTGATAGAGAGTTTTTATTGTCAAATATGTAATACATATATTAATCGAACATTAAACATGTTTATAATTCCAAAATAAAATAAAATAACTAATTGTAATTTCAAAATAATAATATATCAACACCCTTCAAATTATAATTTTTGTTTAGAAAATAGGAACTGGTGCATACAAATGGGAGACACTAGGTTGATTATTTAGTACTTAACAATATTTACGAATTTATAAGGTACTTATTAATATACAGTAAGAGGCAAAATTATAATTTCAAAAATTTCACAAATTCGTGAACCAATCTGTCTAAATTAATTACACTTAATTGCTTATTATATTTAAGAAAAAACATTATTATAATAGTATCTATTGCTTTTAGTAATTAAATTTGATAATTATTTGAAATTTTTGTTTACAAAATAATACTCCTACATATGTAGTAAAATTAGTATAAAAACAAAAATATTTCATAACAATAAAAACAGTAATGTTTTCTCTATTGATTTGAATATTACCTGCCAATATTTGGAAACGAAATAAGTACTTGATTAAATTCGTTTAAAACAGCGAATTTAGCTTAAAACAGTTTCATTGTCGTTATAATTAGCAAAACAAAATTAACATCAAATATTAGTAGGCACGGGATACTATTTTTTATGATGTTCAATCTAAAAATTATCAAAACAAGTTTTTTATCATTGTACGAACAATTTCTAGAGTATACTAGTGTAATTCAGTTTATTTAATTCTGCCACTTAATTCAATATATTCTTGTAAATATGTGCAGTATTATTTAGAAGATATTATACATAAGTCTGTGTGAAACGGATATTATAAGCATAATAATTATAACACTTACTGCTAAAACATATTTTTCCATTGTTTTCAAACAATGTAATTTTTTTATTTTAACATTTTCTGTAGAATAGCATTACAGCATTGTTTCAGAATGAAAAAATATACCTACTTTTTGCTAAGTTAAACATTGTAATAAATAATCCGAGACCAAATTTTGAGAATTAAATAAAAATATTATAAGTAAAAATAGATTTTAACCGCAAACGTCGCAAGTCAGAAGTAAAAGTTTTACCTTACAACCATGAAGTGAAAATTTTATTTTTGCGCCTAAGCGTTTTTACTTTTACCAATGACATTTACCAGTGTTATCTCTTTCTTGTATCTTTCGCTGCTTCAGCAATTTCTGGAGAGATACACTGTAGATCATTAGCATTTTGCACTACTAACTGCACTAGTTAAATTAATAAACACTTTCGAAAGGTTCATCAGAAATACCGATACTTACGCGTGATGTTTGTTATGATTTTACTACTTGAAAAGTATCCTAATTTTTTTGTTTATTTATTTTCTAATAATTGTAGTGTTGATCTATACTCTCGATCTGAATACGTTTGCAGATAAAATAGTATTCGGAATAAAAGTGAGTTTATGTGTCTCCTGAGACACATAAACTATCACTTTTATTCTTAATAACAACATAATATACTTTTTTTTAATAAAAAAATACTAATCTCCCTGATAATATATGTAGATATGCTATTATGTAGTTCGAAAAATCACAATTTAAACTAATTTTTCGTAATACTCATTATTGCTTTAAACTAGGTATTTAAATGTCAAGAAATGAATTAAGTCTGTTTTAACAGCGTTGTCAAATTAGTAACAATCTGAACGTCTCTAGTCGACAAACTGGATGAATTTACATCTCTAAATTCCCATCGCAGTGATAATTGCGACCAAACCCTATCAATACTTAATCCCATTGGTGTTTGTAACAAACCAATCCAATTAGGTTGCCATGCTCCAGTCAACAACTAATCAAAATCATTTCGAAATTTACAATGCCAAGATTTAACTTACCTGATCGAATGGTCGGTAACCTATATGAAACACAGTATGCAACAATGGATATGGTGCAGAAATAACTTTGTTTGGTATCATGGGTTCTAAATTTTCACTCACTCCAAGTTTTAGAAAGAACCATTCGTTGTTATTTTTTACAAAATGATGCAAAGTCTGAAAAATAGTTATTTATTTTGTAATTTTTCAGGTTGAAATTTACTTTCAGACTCTTTTTTCCATGAGTTGTCATTAAAATATCGCTGGCAAGAACTTCAGTGGCTTGCTCTGACCTTTCAACCCTCGACGAACCCTCAACCGAATCCTCAAATAATTCTAGGGTTTCTTTCACCTGTTCCAAAAATTCCTCAATTTGGTCTGTGTGTTTATTATCCTCGTCAATACTGCACAAAGATTCTGCGACAGCTAAAGCTATATCATTCTCAGAACTAAACGTTCCTTCGAAACTAGTTACAGATCTTTTATGTTCCGTTTGTTTCGTCGTTGGAGACACAGCTGAATCCGCAAAAGTGACTTGTTTGTTTGAAGGAAGTTCCGACTGACGCAGCAACTCCGAATATAGTGCACTAATCAAAATCTGTATCAAAGCGGAATGATTTAAAGAAATTATCTCAGCTGGGAGAATGTCTTGAATTAAGGTGGCCACTCGGGGCAAAGCACTGTCCACGCAATCCCACAACTGGATATAAGAACCCAATATAATAAGCATCGCTTGGTACATGCTGGCTCCTGTTTGAATGGCATTGATTACAGTTTTTGAAATAGTAGAAAGCAGAGGTTTAACAAGGTTGAGAATAGATTCGTACCATGGCGGCCGGATTTGATTCCAGACCTTCAAAAACATTCCAAAATGACGCTTCAATTAAAACGAATTCTTACATTGCGACGATCAAAACACTTTGCCCAATTTGGCTGCGCACTAATTGCCGAGAATAGAATATCTGAGTAATCCTCATTGTTGCCAATACTCAAGACAACAGTTGTAGCAGATGCGATTAAATCGTAATAATGAAGTGGTGTTAATAGAGGTACAGAGGTATCGACATTTTTACACGTTCCGTCACTGGAACAGAGGAAGACTCCGCAAGAGTCAGATTTGGTGATTGGTTTTTGGATTTCGATAGTGAAATTTTCCAAAGATATGTCCAAAATAAGTTTCAGTAGTTTACAATTTTTCATTCCTAGAACCTACAAGACTGGGATAAAGTCAAAAGTGGGGAAAATTTTTACTTTTAGCAGAAGGGACCAATTTGGTTGGGGTTGGGCTAACAAAACTGTCAATTCTAACGCGATGGCCGACTCTGATGGTAAGTCAGACATCCGCGTTATATTTTTTGGTTGCACTTTGAAAATGTGTGGCAAAGAGAATATTATCCAAGAGGCCGGGCCTGTACTTCTGGATTTGAGCAGGTCGACGTTCTCTATGCCCTTACGAAAAACCTGGAAAAAATTGGCTATACTTTGTCTAAATTTAACTAAATTACAAATAAACTTCATTTTTCATGCTCTGTGTCCTTCTGAAATGATTTTTCCGCTACATGTCTTATTTAATTGGCGTTTCTTTTCCAACAGTTAAAAATAACAAATTCGATTTCTAAATTTAAAACGATTGATTCTAATTTACTCCACTAATATAATGATGTCGCGTTCTTTCATTTATTTAATTACAAACAAAACTATCAATAATTTGTTTGGCCTAAAACCAACCTTTTGAAGTGTATCCAACGATGCGGCTCTCAAAATTAAACAGTTTAACAATTCCTGACACTTTGTATGTATGTCGCGTAAAATTTTGCTTTTATTATTTAAGTTTAACCCAATTAGTTCTTCTGCTTTATCACAGATACATGGAAGCAATTGCGCTATGCATAATAGCAAGTTACTTATGTCAACTACGAGTAATTTACTCCTTGCTTCAGACGGACATGACTAAAAATTCATTCAAGCAACTTTATCTGATTATTTCCACTCAAGATACCTGAGTGTATCGAACTGTTAAAATAGTTAATGATTCATTTAACATCCCAGAAAAAACCCTTTGTGCCATTTTAGGAGGAACAGTGTTCCATAAATCCTCTCTGGTCCCTGGAACCTTTCTAGGTCATGCATTGTATTAGGAGTGTTAACAGAAATAAACCTTGCATATAAAGCCACCACATTTGTATCACATATGATCCCCTTTCTGACTCACAGAAAGGCTTTTGATTCTCCCAATCTAAGGATTCCGCTTCTTGTAAAATGTACAGTGATAACAACCGACAATGCAAATCCAACAATCGCTCAGCGAGGGCTTCGCCCATCTCTTGATATTTTTTATAACTTTCATGCAACAGTTCAACTTGACTCCCTTTCATTTCATTAATTGTTTGTAAATAGAACCAGAGACAATTCTTTAAAAGCGCTGCCGCCCCAATTGTACCCGTAAGAACCGTTAAATCGGCGTGATCTAAAGCTTCTTGTGTAAGCACATGTAAGTGCTCTAAAAATTGCTAGTAAAAATTTTATTTTGGACAAATTAAGCTTACCTAAAAGTTGTTCAGCTGATTTGTTTATGAGGCTCACGAATTTCGTTGGGTCTGAGGCTTTTACAATGCCGCCACAGCCTCCAGACGTGTCCATGCTTTGATCAGGAACTTCGGATTTTTGCAGGAAACCTGAACTTTTCCTGTAGGCAGCCACATATTCTTCTTCCCACCATAAAACCAGCTTCATTGCGGCAAAAGATGCTGATCTGGGGAAGTCTAGGCGACCGCCTACAACCCCAGGACAAATTGTTTCTTGTAATACGGTCTGGTGGGTCTAAAACAGGACTGATGGCCAACTGTTGTCACAATTTGCAGGAAACTTATTAACCTTGTAATATTCCATGTCTCGTTGGATCAATATGTGAACTTTGTCCATCAAATTACCATCTTCCATCACTTCCATGGTAAAAAAATAAATTAATTATTTCTATAGAATCCTGGAAACGTTAAAAATGTTGATTGTTTACTACAACTGCAATTTTTAAAATTCGATCAAACATTCTGTTTCCATAGTAACGCAGTGTATGCAACCCACAATTCAATAGCGCTAAATTCGAAACTTTATTGTAGAACAAAAATTGACAAAAATATTTATTTTTGTAAGTAGAAAACAAATTTTACATTTTTGTCACAATATGTTATAAAAACTCAATCACAACTTTTTACCAGTTGAGACTTGGTAATAATGTTTTGATCCTTTGTAGACATAACAGCGATGAAACCAATATAACTTTTCAAAGTACTGACTTACTTTGCTCATACATTATGCTTGAAGATTTTACATATAAAAATAAAATTTTAAATTATATCAAGAATTTCGTCGCCATTGTTGAGTATAGTTATTATTTAGTTTTACGTTATAATTCGGTAAGCAGAACAAAACTGAGTGTTTAAAGTTTATCAGAAAAAGTTTTTTTGTTAAAAATTAGTACAATAATACATTGTTTAAAGCATTTGCATTGTACAAAGTAAAGAGGAAAATAAAGTTTATTTTAAACAATATCATATTTCGGTATATTTTCGTTAATTAACTCAACATCTTAATTATTATTTTAATTAACTTTATTTCAGTTAAACGTAGAATGGATGTTTCAAGTTAAGACGGATATTTTTTATTTACTAGCAATGTGTTTAGTTCAAGAGGGATGACAGAACGAGCAGAACGAGTGACTTAATTCTGCGTAAAAAGTGATAGTTTTTTTGTTACAATACTTGTTTTTTGTAGTCGCGATTTTATTGCTTGTTGTATTCAAATTCTAACGTTTTTGTTTCACATAAAATTAAATGTAGTATATAATTTTTATTAAAGAAAAGAACAAGTTTAAAAAAAATAAGCTTTAAGGATGAGGGATTTTTGATTCAATTTATCCACTAATGAATAAAGCAAACTTGATAAAAAATTGTAATTATTAAAAATGAATAATATTATTAGGAGCATATACAGAGTGTTTCACATAATTTTACGAGGCCTGCGCTTGTAAGATGTAATCAATAATACATATTCCGATACGAATTCGATTACAAATTTTGAAAAATTTGTTAGTTTGTTCACTTTTTCAAAAATTACAACGTTTTTTGTTAGATCGTGATTAAGGTAGATAAACTAGAATCATATTAATGCCATCTCATAATAGAAAAAATGATAATTGTCTCTGAAAAACTGCAGTTTATGACTATTAATGAAACAGCGATTAGTTTGACAACTACTGTCATGGGTTTCCAAAAATTGAATAACTAAATACGTATTTTTTGTATCAAATGGTTTGTGACTTTTGTATATTTGGATGCGTACTTTAGGCGCAAGCCTCGTAAAGTTGTCTGAAACACCCTGTATATAAATAATATTCATTATTATGTGACAAATAATAATTCGACATTATACAAGTAGTTTTTTTGAGATTTTATTAATACAATGTGTTAATGATGGTTTAATGTAATTAGTTGTTATTGTGGAGTTTGCAAGTTTGTGGTGGTTTCTCTGGGCGCTTCGTGTTATGACCCAGTAATCAAAGAGCCCAAGCGCGTTTTTATTCGAATAATCCTGTAGTAAATTGATGTAAAAAGGTTGGTACTAAAAATAATAAAACCCTTCATGTGTATTCGCGATTGTTCTACATCACTACAACCCTTCCATGTGGTAAATTCAACCCTTGTCGACTGATACATTAGCACTCATGTGTTCATCTCTAGATAAGTAAAGCATTCTGCACATATGTTTCTCTGGCGAGCTCAAGTATTCTCTTGATAACGTCAGTCAAGGAAAAAGTTGTAACCATTCATAACAAGACATTGCAACGCAAATGGAAACAAGATAAGCCTCCGTTCATGTCTCAATGAATTTAAAACAAACCATGTATAACAGTGTACCTACTTTAAGCAATATTGTCTAGGGTGTCAAGACGCCTCCTCATGGAACTTCCAAATTAACAGTTGCCGAACTATTTGTTCGAGTTGACACTGACAAATCTCGTTTACAAACTTATAAGACTATTCAAACTTTGTAGTATTATACATAAGTGTGTGCAAACGGCAAATATCATTTTGTGCTACAAATGTATTAGTTAATTTAGATTTTCTCCGAGAGGGAATTAAATACAGATTGTAAATTATGCCGAGATGAATGATTTTACAACAGTTGTGGTGAGGAATGGAAAGGTTGCGACCTATTTACCTCTTACGTTACTAAATCTGTCTTATGTGTGTCCGTTATTATGAAAGATTGCTTGTGCGACCACCGAAAAATGGGACTTTGACAAGTGAGCTATAGTAGGTATATTTCTAAACGGGTGTATCACGCACGATCGCGTCTCTGCTGGATAAACACTCGAATAATCGAGGGTAATTCTTCATTTGGAAAAATGCGGTTTTAAAGCTGCTAGATATTGTGACCTTTTTTTAACTCAGGTTTCATTTTAATCTACCTTTATTTGCAATCTAAAACGATTTTAAAACTAATCATTTTATAAAAAAATACAAATTAATAAATATGTATTTTAAAATTTTGAATAATTCAATGAAAAATAACACACTATAAAATTCGTAT